GAGAGAGAGCACATGAGAGGAGGTAGAGTCAAAGGGAGAAGCAGACTCCCTGCTGAGCAGGGAGCCTGATGCGGGACTCGATCCCAGGACTCCAGCATCGTGACCTAAGCCGAAGGCAGTCGCTTAACCAGCTGAGCCACCCAGGCACCCTAGGTATTTTATTTTTTGATGCAGTTGTAAATTAGATTGTTTTCTTAAATTATCTTTCTGCTACTTTGTTATTAGTGTATAAAAATGCAACAGATTTCTATATATTGATTTTATATCCTACAACTTTACTGAATTCATTTATTCTATCAGATTTTTTGGTGGAGTCTTTAGAGTTTTGTATATATAATATCACGTCATCTGCAAATAGTGACAGTTTTACTTCTTCATTTCTGATTTGGATACCTTTTATTTCTTTTTTCTTGTTTAATTGTTGTGGCTAGGATTTCCAGTACTATGTTGAAGAAAAGTGATGAGTGGACATTCTTGTCTTGTTCTTGATTTTAGAGGAAGAGCTTTCAGTTTTCACCATTGAGTATGATATTAGCTGTGGGTTTTTCATATATGGCCTTTATTATCTTGAGGTATGTTCCCTCTAAACCCATTCTGTTGAGAGTTTTTATCATGAGTGGATGTTGAATTTTGTCTTATACTTTTTCTGGATCTTTTGAGATGATCATATGTTTTTTAATCTTTTACTTTGTTAACGTGATTATCAAGTTGATTGATTTATGAATATTGAACTATTCTTGCATCCTCTGAATAAATCCCACGTGATCCCTCGAAAATATTGTTGAGTTCAGTTTGCTGCAACTTTGTTGAGGACTTTTGTAGCTATATTCATTAGGGATAATGGCCTGTAGTTTTCTTTTTTTGTGTTTTGTAGTGTCTTTTCTGGTTTGGGTATCAGGGTAATGCTGGTCTCATAGAATGAATGTGGGAGCTTTCCTTTCTCTTCTGTTTTTGGAATAGTTTGATCCTTATAGCCTTTTTCATTTATTGCAAGTACTTAAAAATTTTAAATTTGCGTATATTTTTCCCCAAGAGTAGGGACTAAAGCCATTTAAATGGGCAAAAAATAAGGGATTTTTATCACCTACTTCTAAGCCAAAATAAAGGCACATTGACATCTATTTTATGGACAAGGTAAGGAAGTAAACAGATCTTAGCAATTTGATTAAAATCAATTAGTAAGTCAGGGGTTGTAAGTATGGGCTCCAAATCTTAGGTTATAATCAGGTGTCATACCTATTACTATAGCCCCTAAATAAAACAAAAAAAGTACCTCAAGACATTAAGTAAAAATGGTTCCACTTACTTATTCTCTCAATTAATGAAGAAATATAATTTAGAAAACTTTGATTTATCTTAAAATTTCCATTCAAGATACTAGCTAGAAAGACGAAGAATTTTGCGTCCAATCATCCTGGAAAAAGATGGTATCATATAAAATGCTATCTGTTTGTTTTCAGCCTAATAAAGAACAGAAATCTAGGAGAGAACAGATTGGTGGTTGCCAGAGGCAGAGGGTGAAGGATGTCAAAAGGTACAAACTTCTACTTATAAAATAAATAAATCCTGGGGATGTAATGTGCAGCATGATGACTATAGTTAATAATAGTGCATTGTATATTTGAGAGTTGCTAAGACAGTAGATTGTAAAAGTTCTTATCACAAGAAAAAAAAGTCTGTAACTCTAAGGTGACAGCTATTAACTAGACTTATTGTGGTGATCACTGCACAATGTATATAAATTTTGAATCATTATTTGTACACCTGAAACTAATGTAATTTTCTATGTCAATTATATCTCAATAAAAAAAGAAGAGAAATCTAACCCCATAATAATAAAAACACCCGTGGTTCATCCTAGGATAGCAAATTCAATATTTTCCTCAAAATACAACAGCCACTTTTGATCATGTTTCCTTTTCTCTTCTCTTTCTGGCAAGCTTCCCTTGGAATAATAAATAACTCCATCCAGGAACTAGACAAGATCAGGGTCAATCTGGAATTTTTCTTTTATATGGGGTATAAAAGAATCTTAATCTATAGTTGCACTAAATGTCTGGAAAGGAATAAAAAACTCAGGAAAAAATTCTACCATTTCTAACAATTAATCATTACATGGTGCAGAAAAAAATGTCTCAGAGCAACTGATTTCACTTTTCTGTAACTCTTCTAGAGATTGTCTAGCTCAGGTTCAAAGATGAATTTACATTACTAAAATGGAAGAAAATGGAGCTCTTTCTTTCTAAAGGATGATGTCCCTTCTCACAAGAAGAATCTTGGGAAAATCTATGGTAAATTATTCATATCTTTTAAAATTTATATTTGTATCTTAAAATTAAGAAATTTGATAAACCATGTCCCCTTCAAATCTCCCTTATAGTTCTAATATTTTATGAAAAATTATTTATTTCTGTATCATATGATTTATTTCCCCTTCTTGGCCCATAAACAAAGTTTAAATAGAGGAAACATCATATCCAGATCCCTGGATATCCTGAGCCATGCATCTCCACTTTAAGTTTTGGCAACTCTCAAATTCAGTTCAACAAACATTATACATGATAAATTTATTGTACATTTATCATATCCTAGGCCTGCTGCTAATTCTTTTGGTAGCACAGTGTATAAGTCATAGAGCTTATTCTAAGTAGTTTAGTGTCCAGGCAGAAAAATACGTATGCACCAAATACTACACACATCAGCTGTAAAAAGTATGATTGCTGGCCTACAACAAGGGGAAGCAAGAAAAGAGATTTAACTCAAGTGCGAAGATCAACAAAGACCCAAGAAATAAAGAGATAATTGAGTTCAGCCAGGGCAACCTAAAAATACACAAGGTCCAACGTGTAGAGACTTTATAAAATAAGAGAAACTTTCTAATTTAAAATGAGAATTTAGCAGCATTTAGAATGTTCTGGTTACTCTCCTGTGATCCCACTGAACATTGCACCTCTCTCATTCCTGCAGGTTGCCTTGTAAAGATTTAGTTCCAGGTATGTTACTTGTAACAGCCAGAGAGGGCCTTATAGTGGGGTCACAACCATATCAACTCTGAATTCCCAGTGCCCCAGTGAGCACTCAACACATTGTAGACCATTAAATGTTCTTAAAAGAGTAAATGAACTAAATATTTCAGTAGCACTTTGCAGAGTGAATCAAACTTTCTAATTTAGCTCTTTTTGCAAGTTGATTCTTTTGGATTTTGAGTCCTCAACTGGCCTATGTCTGATATGGATTTTATTTCCCAGCGGCTACACTTGTTCTCCTCTGTAGCTAGATCAGCTAAGGGAAGGGTGGGCACAATGTAGATCCCTACTGATCATGGTTGTCACTGTTTCCAGGTTTTGGGATTTTACAGAGAGGTGCGTTCGCGCGCGTGCGCGCACACGCACACACACACACACACACACACACACAATCACACCCCTCTCTGTGATACACAAAGATGTTAACATGGTCACACAACATACAATAATAGCAAAGATGCAAAAGGAGACCACAAAAATTAGCTGGAATATGAAATCTAATGGGCAAATATAGTTTGAAATAGGCAAAATGTGAAATCAAGATAGGACATTTATTCTTGCTCTCTGCAAGAAAGACCACCTCCTATCACTTCAGAAGATACACTGGAATTTGCTAATCTTTTCAATTTTAGTACTTTTATTACTTCTATTTAGGTCTATTTTTGTTTCCCAGAAAATTAGCATTTTACCCTTAAATCTCTTACTCTAAATGTTAACCCCTTCCTAAGTGTGATTTCATTATTAGATTTTATTTTCCAGTATATATGCCCCATTTCATAGTGGAAAGTAATGGGAGAATGGTATTCAGGTTCCTAAAACCTCTGTCTTGTAGTTATAGATATTATAGAAAATACAACATTTCCATTTAGGGCAGAGAGAATCCATTACAGCCATCAGATAAATTATAATTCATGTATAATATTTAAGAATTCAAGGAAATCCATTAGGTAAAGCCAATAAAAATTCTACTTAATCCTGGCACAGCCTGACCCCTTGTAACCTCATGAGTGTTTGATGAAGACTTGGCTTTACCAGGCAGCTTATTAGAAATGTAATTCTCAGGCCCTACCCAGACCTATGAATCAGAATTTGCATTTTAACAAATCCCCCATGGGATTTGTGTGCACATTAAAGTTTTAGAAGGAGGAGTTAACCAATCATAGAGAAACTCTATGAATAGAAATTACTCCATCAATCTTTAATTTAGGTTGGGGTTCCTTCCAAAGATCTACAGACCCAAACGTTAATTATTTTCAATATCTTGACTAAATTTACATTAAGATATATTCCTGGAATTTGGTGGCCTCCTATATTTCATTTTACATCCAATCCAATGGTTCTGTGTGGTACACACTGTCTCCTCCTCTCCACAGGAAAACCAGGCATGCATGGGGAGAAAGGGGTCAGTGATTTGAATTAGAGAATTAGATGGAAGACTGACTATTCATTGTATGGTGGGGATTTCAACTCAGTCACCACATTGCTTTCTTCTCAAAGGGTTGTCTTAGGCTTCAACCAATGGAGTCATTTCTGCAAAGGAAAATCCCCAAACTTGGGGGTTCGTGAATCACATGCCAAATGAGTTAGATTAATTAGGCATTTCTTTGCTTGAGTTTCTTTCTCCCACCATAGTTCATCTCTTTATTTGTGACCTTGAGAAGCCAAGGAGAGGCCACATCCTATGCAACTGGAAACCTGGTTGCTGAAGGGATCCCTGCCAGATTGCTAACAACCAGAGGAAAAGATGCCTGTCCTTTCTTAAACTTGGGTTTCATGAGGATGAGTGACCCTTCCTTTGCCTCAAAAGGGAGCATCTCTCACCATGACCCTGTTTTCATGGGAGTGAGCCTACTGAATGGGTATGGATGGTGACAGTGTTATAACAATGACAACATTCCTGCTGAAACAAGAGGTGTGGGAGAAATGAAAACAAAGCTATGTCAACTCTTTAGGGAGCAAAGAAAAGTGGCATACCCAAGCTGCACCCCAGACATCCTGCTTCACAAGGCACGCACTCTTCATAGTCTGGGTCTTGAACTTCACCTATACAAGAAGAGTGAGAAACACAATTCATTTTCGCTGAGTGGAGACACATTCATCGCTATGAAAATATGTTGGTGTGGAGCTTATTTTCTGCCCTTCCCCTTTTCTCAGAGACAACAAATTTTAATTCTTTTAGCTGTTTCTTTTAGTTTTTTACCTTCAGACCTCTAAATAGCATGGTTATGATGCTACCTCTTGATTTTATTCTCATGCATTACCTGTAGTGGTAAAGACTAGCTTTGTTTCACCACCATTCCAACAAACACAGACATACTTTCCATCTTCCCAAATGATAAATTTTGCTAGATTAATATTCAGTATTTATATTGTTATGATTATACTATTATTCATATTCTAGTGACATTGGGGCTCTTATTCATCTTTTTGTTTTCTCTTGTGCTACTATTTGTCTGGCTTCTTTATTTATTTTCTCAATATCTGTCCTTAAGTCACCCTCAGCTGTACCACAAGTAGAAATCTTCCAGCTATTGCATTAGTACCTTCTTTACTGTCATCCTGAGGATTCCTTTCATCCCTCTCTTCCTTTGATGCCCATTTTCTGGACCTTATATTTTCTAATTTCTTGTTCTATTTTTTGGTGGAACATATCCTTTACAAGTAATTTTCCCAAGAAAGGATGCATGGGAGGTAAAGTTTTGGAAAACTTGCATGACTGAAAATACTCTCTGTTTTTCTACCCTCATACATGACTCATGGCTTGACTGAATTTAGGATTGAAAAGAGAAATAATTTCTTTTCTCAAATGTTTGAAGTTTTTGTTCCATTTTTATGTGTTAGTTTCCAGTATTGTTGAGAAGTTCAATGTCATTCTGATAGCCAGTCTTTCTTGTATGACCTGCTTTTTTTTCCCCCGTAGGAGTTTTTAAGATTTTCCTTTTGCAGAAAAAAAAAATCTATTTTCCAAATTCTTACAGTGATGTATCTTGGTGTCTGTCTTTTTGAAATCCATTATGCTGGACATGCAGAAGTCTTGTTCAATCTGGAAATTCATGCCTTTCAGTTCTGGGGTAATTTTCTGAGTTATTTCTTTGTTAATGTTCTCTATTCTGTTTTTGCTCTTTACTCTTTGAAAAACTTGTATTATTGGAATTCCTGGGTTGACTCTTAATTTTTCTTCCCTCTTCTCCATTTTCTACTTTTTCTTTTGCTTCTACTATCTCAGTGATTTTTAAGTTTTTATCTTTCTACCCCTCTTCTTCATTTCCATTCTTCTATAATTGTTTTTTTTTAATTTTTTGAAATTAAAAAAAAAGATTTTACTTATTTAGTTGAGAGAGAGAAAGAGAATGAGCAGGGGTGGGGCAGAGGGACACACACACAGAGAAAAGCAGATTCCCCGCTGAACAGGGAGCCTGATGCTGGGCTTGATCCCAGGACCCGGAGATGATGACCTGAGCTGAAGGCAGATGCTTAACTGACTGAGGCACCCAGGTGCCCCTGTATAATTGTTTTTAAAGATTTATTTATTTATTTGAGACATAGAGAGCCCACACACATGCACTCACATGTGTGCATAAGTTGGGAGAGGGCAGAGGGAGAGAATCTCAGATTCCCCACTGAGCATGGAGCCCAACGTGGGGCTCAATCTCATCATCCATGAGATCATGACCTGAGCCGAAACCAAGAGTCGGATGCTTAATCAAGTGAGCTACCCAGGTGTCCCCTTTACTTCTATAAATTTTTAAAAAAATTTCCAAGATCACATTTTTATTTTCTGAATATTCTTTTTTAATGTTTTTTTAAAGGATGTGTTCCAGGTATACAGTATAATTTGATATCTTATATACTGCAAAGTGATCACCCCCCAAAATCCAGTTATCATCCATCATCCTATAATTGGCCCCCTTCAGCCCTTTCTCCCAACCCCACACCCCCTTCTCTCTGGTAACCACCAGTCTCTTCTCTGCACCTATGAGTTTGTTTGTTTTGTTTCTTAGATTCTACATATGAGTGAAATTATATGTATTTGTCTTCTGATTTATTCCACTAGCATAATACCTATATTGTAAATGGCAAATTTTATTCTTTTTTTAAGGGATCAACTTTATCCATTCATCCACTGGTGAACATTTAGCTTGTTTCAGTTTTTTGGCTATTGTAAATAATGCCGTAACGAACACAGGGATGCGTATATCTTTTCAAATTAGTGTTTTCATATTTTTTGGATAAAAACCCGGTAGTGGAGTAACTGGATCATATGGTAGTTTTATTCTTAATTTTTTGAGGAATACCCATATGTTTTCCATTGTGACTACATCAATTTACATTCCCACTAACAGTGCATGAGGGTTCCCTTTTCTCTGCATTCTCGCCAACACTTAAGATTTCTTGTCTTTTTGATAATAGCCATTCTAATAGGTATGAGGTGATATCTCATTGTGGTTTTGATTTGTGTTTCCCTAAACATCAGTGATGCTGAACATCTTTTCATGTACCCATTGGCCACCTGTTTGTCTTTGGACAAGTGTCTCCCCAGACCTTCTGCCCATTTTTTAATTGGGTTGTTTGTTCTTTGTTCTTGAGTTGTATTAGTTCTTTATATATTTTGAATATTAACCCTTTATTGGATGTGTATGATTTGTAAATATCTTCTCCCATTCAGTAGATGGGCTTTTTGTCTTGATGATGGTTTCCTTTGCTGTGCAAAACATTTTTAGTTTGATGTAGTCCCATTTACTTATTTTTGTTTTTTCTTTCCCTTGCCTTTGGAGTGTGACTCACAAAACCATTTTTAAGACTGATATCAAAGAGCTTACTACTTACATCTTCTAGGAGTGTTATGGTTTCAGTGTTATGGTCTTACATTCAAGTCTTTAATCCAGTTAATTTTTGTGTATGCTGTAATAAAGTGGTCCACATTCATTCTTTTGCATGTAGCTCACTGGTTCTCCCAGCACCATTTATTGTAAAAGACTATCCATTTTCCATTGTTCTTGGCTCTTTTGTCATAAATCAATTGTCCATATATGCGTGGGTCTATTTCTGGGCTCTCAGTTCTGTTTTATCAACCTGTCTATTTTTTTTTTTTTTTGGTGTGTCAGTACCATACTGTTTTGGTTACTACAGCTTTGTAATATAGTTCAAAATAAGGGAATATGATACCTCCAGCTTTGTTCTTCTGTCTCAAGATAGCTCTAGCTATAGAGTATCTTTTGTAGTACCGTGTAAGTTTTAGAATTATTTGTTCCAGTTCTGTGAAATACGTCATTGAAATTTTGATAGTAATTATATTTAATTTGTAGATCACTTTGGGTAGTATGGACATTTTAACAGTATTGATTCTTCCAATTCATGAGCACAGAGTATCTTTTCATTTACTTATGTCTTCAATATATTTCATCAGAGTGTTAATAGTTTTCAGTGTACAGGTCTCTTACCTCCTTGGTTAGATTTTTTTTCCTAGGCATTTGATTCTGATTGATGCAATTGTAAGTTCAATTAAGTTTTCTTAATTTCTTTTACTGATAGTTTGTTGTTAGTGTATAGAATGCCACAGATTTCTGTGTATTGATTTTGTATCCTACAACTTTACTGAATTCATTTATTCTATCAGTTTTATTTATTGAGTTTTTAGGGTTTTCTATATATAGTATCATGTGGTCTCCAAATAGTGACAGTTTTAGTTCTTCATTTTTTTAAATTTCATTTAATTTTATTATGTTAGTCACCATACAGTACATCATTAGTTTTTGATGTAGTGGTCCATGGTTCATTGTTTTTGTATAGCACCCGGTGCTCCATGCAATACATGCCCTCCATAATACCCATCACCGGGCTCACCCATTCCCCCCATGCCCCTCCCCTCTAGAACCCTCAGTTTGTTTCTCAGAGTCCATAGTCTCTCATGGTTCGTCTCTCCCTCCAATTCCCCCCCCCATTTTTCCCTTCCTTCTCCTAGTGTCCTCCATGCTATTCCTGATGTTCCACAAATAAGTGAAACCAGATGATCATTGACTTTCTCTGCTTGACTTATTTCACTTAGCATCATCTCCTCCAGTCCCATCCATGTGGATGTAGAAGTTGGGTATTCGTCCTTTCTGATGGCTGAGTAATATTCCATTGTATATATGGACCACATCTTCTTTATCCATTCATCTGCTGAAGGGCATCTCGGCTCTTCCCACAGTCTGGCTATTGCGGACATTGCTGCTATGAACATTGGGGTGCATATGGCCCTTCTTTTCACTATATCTGTGTCTTTGGGATAAATACCCAGGAGTGCAATTGCTGGGTCATAGGGTAGCTCTAATTTTAATTTTCTGAGGCACCTCCACACTGTTTTCCAAAGTGGCTGTACCAACTTGCATTCCCACCAACAGTGTAAGAGGGTTCCCCTTTTTCCACAACCTCTCCAACATTTGTTGTTTCTTGCCTTGTCAATTTTTGCCATTCTGACTGGTGTAAGGTGGTATCTCACTGTGGTTTTGATTTGAATTTCCCTGATGGCTAATGACAATGAACATTTTTTCATGTGTCTGTTAGCCATTTGTATGTCTTCTTTTGAGAAGTGTCTGTTCATGTCTCTGCCCATTTTTTGAATTGATTATTTGTTTTGGGGTGTTGAGTTTGAGAAGTTCTTTATAGATCTTGGACATCAGCCCTTTGTCTGTAGTGTCATTTGCAAATATTTTCTCCCATTCTGTGGGTTGCCTCTTCATTTTGTTCACTGTTTCCTTTGCTGTGCAGAAGCTTTTTATCTTGATGAAGTCCCAAAAGTTCATTTATGCTTTTGTTTCACTTGCCTTTGGAGATGTATCTTGAAAGAAGTTGCTGTGGCTGATGTTGCAGAGGTTACTGCCTATGTTCCCTTCTAGGGTTTTGATGGATTCCTGTCTCACATTGAGGTCTTTCATCCATTTTGAGTTTATCTTTGTGTATGGTGTTAGAGAATGGTTGAGTTTCATTCTTCTGTATATAGCTGTCCAATTTTCCCAGCACCATTTATTGAAGAGGCTTTTTTTCCATTGCATAGTTTTTCC